ACATGTTTTGTAAACTCGGATTGATTTAAAGCTTTGAATAATACAACTTATTATGTGTTCGTCTGGCTGGCTTGCAGAATAAAGAAACTGTTATCTTGATCATAAAAACACCATAAATCGAAAAATCTCATTCATTCAATTCAATTTTGAATAGAATTGAATGAATAAAAATTTTCTTTTCAATTTATATTAAATACCAACTGCTCGACACAAAATGAAGCTTTTCTTTCGATTCGCTCATTTGCAAAAATTCTAGGTTTTGTGAATAGCGGACATGTTTTAGAAGATAAAATCAAGTTTTACATCAGCATTTATTTTTCATTGTGTTTTTTTTCTAGGCCATATTGCCTTTTACATACATTTTAAACCAAAAATAGTTTCATTAATATTGTAGTTAGCCTAATGGTCAAATCAAACGTCAGTTAGTAATGATTAGTCATTATGTTAAGCATGTCAGCATTGTTCATATACCAATGACAAATACGTTAAATTATAATTATTTTATGACAAAAAGACAACAAAAATAGAAATTTTTATTACAAAACACGATGTTTTCTAGGGAAACCTTAGTTATTTAAGCACTTATTATAAAACATGACCGAGATATTAAGGAAACACACAGTCCCACAATTGAACATGTAAAGGGGCTTACAAATATTAAGAACTCCGTTATGAAGGTGCTTTTAAAAGTGGATATTTAGAATTATGTTCCCTGATGTTCTTTAATTCAACATCTAGCTATGTAAATAATATCAATCGATTGAAGACAATGCGAAAAAGAAACAACCCTGTGCATACTTCTACATTCATTGTAAAAAAGAAACAACCTAGTGCATACTTCTACATTCATTGTAAAAAAGGAACAGCTCAGTGCATACTTCTACATTCATTATAAAAAAGAAACAACCTAGTGCATACTTCTACATTCATTGTAAAAAAGGAACAGCTCAGTGCATACTTCTACATTCATTGTAAAAAAGAAACAGCTCAGTGCATACTTCTACATTCATTGTAAAAAAGAAACAGCTCAGTGCATACTTCTACACCCATGGTAAAAAAGAAACAACCTAGTGCATACTTCTACATTCATTGTAAAAAAGAAACAGCCCAGTGCATACTTCTACATTCATTGTAAAAAGGAAACAGCTCAGTGCATACTTCTACATTCATTGTAAAAAAGAAACAGCCCAGTGCATACTTCTACATTCATTGTAAAAAGGAAACAGCTCAGTGCATACTTCTACATTCATTGTAAAATAGAAACAACCCAATGCCTACTTCTACATTCATTGTGAAAAGCGAGATGTTGTAGAATTGCCAACTATCCACTAAGGTTCCTAACGCTGAATAGTATTGTTATGAAAACGTTGAAACACATTGACTTATCTTGACGGTTCAGGAACTTTTTTGAAGAAGAAAAATTACCTTATTTTAACAATTTTTTTGATACAAGCTATTATATAGTCTATGATAACTGGTTAGTGATTCTGGCGAGAGCAAACAAAGCAAATTAAAATTAAACGCATTTTTTTTTAAATGAGATAAGGATGTATATTTTTTTAAAGAGATACATTAAGTGAAAATAGCTAGTTCTACTTAAAGGGTGTTAAATTTATCGGCATATCACCATACATATGGTGACAATAGAATTGATAATGGAAACGGGGAATGTGTCAAAGAGACAACAACCCGACCAAAAAGCAGCACAAGGCCATTAATGGGTCTTCAACGAGCGAGAAAATCCCCCATCCGAAGGCGGGATTCAGCTTGATCCTAAACAATAATGTATACTAGTTCAGCGAAATGGATGCCACACTAAACTTCGAAACATATAAATGAACCAACATTAAAGAAACACACAATACTAACAAAGGCCAGAGGTTACTGACTTGGGACAGGCGCAAAAATGCAGCGGGGTTAAACATGTTTTGTTAGATCACAACCCCAACCCCCTATACCTCTAGCCAAAATAGAATAAAAAAAAACACACAGCAATACGCACAGTAAAACTCAGTTTAAAAAACGTCCGAGTCCAATGTTAGAAGAGATTACAGAAGAAACTAAGCAAAATGACAATGATAAACATAAATTAACAAAGGACTACTAGCAGTCACTGACATGCCAGCTCCAGACCGAAGAACATAACCCGCACCATGCCAACAACTGGTTTTAGAACAAATGTTTATATTTCAAATGCAAAGACCCTATGGCTGAATCAATACATATACAATGTATACGTAGAACTAAAAAAAAAACTTGTTTAAATGCTTATTCGTTGACGGAATCGAATAAGAATAAAACGTTCTGTATAAGATTTTACAAAACGAATTCATGTCATCTTTTGTGATTTTACCAAAAATCAGATATTGCATCGAACATGAAATACTTAACGCTGGAGTTAAACAACCACAAATTATTCAATCAGCTACTGAAATATCACGGGAGGGATACACATTATCTTTTAATCATTCTTAAAATCAAACTCAAATAAAAATAATACATGTATAGAACTGTTATGTTGAATCCTTCAGTACATAAGCTTTCGTTTCTTGTTTCCTTATAAGGTTATTTATGTGTCAAATGTCAATGACATTATTAATTACAAGCAAACACTTGTCACTTGTGGTAGCTTTTTTACTATTATTGTAGACAAGTAACTAATTAATACAACAATAAAATGGGAGTGTTTGCAGCATGAAATACATATATACACACATTTTGAGAGAAAAAAAAGATTGACACTGACGAAGGTCATTTGTTGTGCCGAAATATTTAAAAGTTTGGCAATGCTATATTTTTTCATTGTTTCGTTTTTAATATCTTTTATCAGAATTGTTGCAAAAAATAATTTTTAAATTTCGTCATGGTTGGTTACCATGGTAATTTGACAAATATGAAATTTGTTTTGTTTTCTGAGCACCTTATCTATTAGTCATATGATGGTGAGTTTCAGATCATGTGTGGTTACTTTTCTATTTGGCTTGAAAATTTTTGCGACATACGTATAGGTCCTACTCCCCCTCTACCTTTTGGCAAAACGTTTGACAATTTCCATTGTTGTGATAATCTCAAAATTGTCAAAGATAACAAACAATTATTTGAAAGAACGAAAAAAGAAGGATTATTGCATGTTATTGTTGATTTACCCAAATCATCACATTTCTTCCAAAGTAACGTTTATCATTATTCAATTGTTGTTTATTAGAGTATGTTAAATTCGTATATTCTGGAACTGTTTTGTCTAAATCGATTCGTTATTGGTGTTATTGGCATACAATCACGAACTCTTTAAGGGAGAAGCTGGTGGCCTGTTGCAAGGTAACATTGAAGTCTTGTCTCTTTCCAACATACACTCATTTTTCATTTGCAATCATGAATTCTCGTCCTTTATCCCTGGGAACGTACTTTGTAGAACCTGCTTATTGAATTTACTAATTTACTTTTAATTTGTTCTCGTCTTGAGTTTTTATTTGCCCCGAAATATTCGAACTACAAACAACCAACCACAAACAATAATCGTATGTTATCATCACAAAAATTCCGATCTATTGACGAATATATACAAGGAGAATTACAAACATTCAAAAAATCCTTTTATAATTAGATCAATGAAACGTATGATTTGCACGATCGCGAATGACATTTTCAGTTTTACTATTGTTGCGGACTTAAAAAAATTACATACAATACAATCCATTTGTTCATGTAGTGCTTGTCAATCTAATGTATGTAAAACGGAATTAAAAAAAAAATACTCCAAATGTGACAAAGGATCTGGGTTGTCAGATGACTGTGTGAAAAAATAAAAAGACGTTCAATATACAGTGATCTTCCCGCCTAACTTCAATTACTTTTCAAATTGCTTTGACCAATCATATCATTTTTTTTATTGGAAATATTCTTTAAGACCACAAACGATACTCTAATATGTCAATAACCGGAGTTGAGGACTTTTTTTTTGTAAAAATATATGGTATACAGTATACATACAGAAAATACCCGAAACCTTAAAATATTTTGATTGATTTGACCAATTATATATTTCATATTCTGTATATAAATTTCTTTATCATCATGTTGATTATTAATTGATTGATTGATTTGTATTTGCTTAACGTCCAGTGGCAAATACATTCATGAACATCGCGTTTAACTGTAAGACATTATCAACTGCAGACCGTATAAGGATGATTAAACTATTACTATATTTTTGTGTTATCCTCCAAGATCTGAATGAACATAATGAGATGTTATTACGGTGGTATGCTTGCCAATGAGACAACTATCCGCCAGAGACGTAAGCAAATACAGGTCACCGTCTTTATTTCGTATTGTTTTGTATTGTTGATAACATTTTTATGTTGGATTATATAACAATTTATTTTAAAATTATTAATTCTAAAATAGAAAAAAATGATAATTTGAATTGAATGCAGTATTGCCTACTTCTGTTGTTCATTTCTATGACCTGCATACTTCTTGTGTGCTGACACGGTGTTAGACAGTAAATCAATCAATTAATGGACACAATCTTAAGAAGAAATATCTATTAATGTAGGCGTAAACATGTAAAATAATCTGATAGACAAATGTCCGTTCACTATTGCCAAATAGATCTTTATTGCCTTAAAACACATTTTGTGTAAACATAATTACCTTTTGTGATAGTCATTTATTTGGTTTATACTTTTTCTACAATTAATAACATCTTAAGGGCAAATATTAACACTATAAGTGCATATATCGTATTCAATACAGTTATGCTTAAACTTAGCTTTATCTACATTTTATTGTATGGTATTAATTAAAATATATCCACAAAAAAAGACAAATTTTCTTATTCTCTTACACACCGACTATCCGATTGTTTGGATTTTACTCTAATGTAATAAATATCTTATTTTATCTTATCTTACAGACATAACTAGTTATGGAATTCATACAAAAAGATGGATAGAAAAATTCCATGAATTCAGGTGATTCGTGAATTTCACAAAATATGAAACATTTAAAGACATAGAAATATGAAACAAGTTATTTTGATATGGATATTTTGTATTGGAAATGTAATAGGACATGGAAAACTATGGGAACCACCAGCCAGATCGACTATGTGGAGAAGAGGATTCAAAACACCCGTTAATCCAAATGATAATGAACTAAATTGTGGTGGATTTCAAGTAAGTCAAATCTAAATACTAGTACACAGTAAAAAGCTTCAACTGTTTGCACCTGTCCTAAGTCAGGAACCTGATGTTCAGTGGTTGTCGTTTGTTGATGTGGTTCATAAGTGTTTCTCGTTTCTCGTTTTTTTATATAGATTAGACTGTTGGTTTTCCCGTTTGAATGGTTTTACACTAGTCATTTTGGGGCCTTGCTTGCTGTTCGGTGTGAGCTAAGGCTCCGCGTTGAAGGCCGTACGTTGACCTATAATGGTTTACTTTTACAAATTGTGACTTGGATGGAGAGTTGTCTCATTGGCACTCATACCACATCTTCTTATATCTATTCAAGTGGTACAAGTCGGTAATCAATGTCAAATAATTACAACATACCGTCAATGATAAAAGTAATTTCCTGTGTTCTAATTCATAAAGGTTAACAAATTTAAATAAAATTCTTCATTGAAGAAAATCCATAACCAAGATGAGGTAGTTTATATCTCATTAACATAGCTAATTTTTGATACAATTATGGTACAATTCAAAATGTACTTCCTTTTTAACTTTATTAACTAAACCTCTCACTTGCAAATGTAACATTAAAGTAATGGAAGCCGTTTTGTAGATTTACCTTCAATATTAATGTAACTCTCAGGGCATATATAATAGATAGAAGAAAAAAGATTAATATTCAAATTGAAAAAAAATATATGATAATTTTCTACCCCTCCCCTTTAAGTAATGCAACGTGATACATGATAAAGTTTTATTTTCAAAGACGTTAATAATTATCAAATCTTCCCGCCTTTCAGTTTTCAGAATATCTAAATTTCCTTTTTCAGAATCATTGGATAAAATATGGCGGACGTTGTGGCGTGTGTGGTGATCCTTATCAAACAAGCCCGAGACCGAACGAAGCAGGAGGAGAGTACGCCACTGGAGCTATATCACGACACTATAAAAGTGGTCAAATTATTGATTTAGCAGTCGACATAACAGCCAATCATGTTGGATTTTTTGAATTTCGTATTTGTCCGAATAATGACGCAACAAAACCGATCACGCAAAAATGTTTGAATAGATATCCTTTATTTGTTGTTGGGTCAAAAGATGGTCGGTATCATGTAGGTGGACATCAAAATGGTATAGTTGTGTTTAAAGGCAAACTTCCGAAGGGACTGGTCTGTTCACAGTGCGTTATGCAATGGCGTTATAGAACCGGTATGTATTTCGTCTCTATGAACATGCATATTTTATAGTACATATAAGAAATAAGAAGATGTGGTATGATTGCCAATGAGACAACTCTCCACCAGAAACCAAATTTTTGTTGACAGACATTAACAACTATAGGTCACCGTACGTGTACATGTTCTATTGTTGAAACCCGTCTGTTTGTTGATCTATGTGGTGTGTCTCAGTGGCGGATCCAGGGGGGGGGGGGGGGGGGGTCCGGGGGTTGGAACCCCCCTTTTTTGACGATCAATGCATTTGAATGGGGACATATAGTAGGAACCCCCCTTTATCCTTGGTTAGGAACCCCCCTTTTATAAATGGCTGGATCCGCCCCTGTGTCTCCTTTTGGTGTTATTATTAAACGCAATCTTATTCATTCACAACTTTAGCAAAATATACAGGCTACAAGTTAACCGCAAGGTTCCGGGAAATAAAACATTGTTTTCCCCTATTAGTCTTTGTTAAAGAGGTAGGGCCATTTTCCCGTGAGTTTTTTTCATTTGATTAGCTAGGAAAATCATGTTTTTAAATAGCCCGATAGATGCTAATTATAGTATATGAAAACACGTCACATCATCTATTTTCATACCTTGAACAGGTATTCCTACAATAATCAAGGCCAAGACTATTGATTTTTTTTGTTTATCAAAACCAATATTGATTTTGTTTGTTAGTGCCCTTGAGGAGCATTAAAATATGAATTATCAACTAATAGATATTCAAAATTAGTGTTGTATTAAAAAAAACATGGTGCTTCAGTTAGCGTGTTAATGTTGGTAGGTGATTTGTAGCGTACATGTATTTCACAGCTTCGTTTAACTTAAAACTTACAAAATATTAAACAAGAATGTGTCCATAGTACACGGATGCCCCACTCGTACTATCATTTTCTATGTTCAGCAAACCGTGAAATTGGGGTAAAAACTGTAATTTAGCATGAAAATGAGAAAGATCATATCATAGGGATCATGTGTACTAAGTTTCAAGTTGGTTGGACTTCCACTTCATCAAAAACTACCTTGACCAAAAACTTTAACTTGAAACGGGGCAGACGGACGAACGAAGGGACGGACGGACGGACGGACAAACAAACGAACGGACGCACAGACCGAAAACTGAATGCCCCTAAGTGGCGCCTAAAAAAGGGGGTTAAATATAAATACAAGAAACATTTAATAATCTAATTATCCGATATAAATCAGCTAAGCTGATACAAGATCGGTCTCTGTTTTAATGCCAAGAAGCCAAAATATATCGGACGCATTTAACTGGGATGTTGTTTTCCTCAATCTGGATGTATCTATATCTATATACTGTTCCGGCTTTTAAGGTTTACCGTCTATATGAACCGGACATAAGCTTACACCAGTTGGTACTAGAACGGCTTGCGTAACAAACACGGCATGTAATCTGGTCTTCTCTGCATGGCATTGTACCAAATGGATCGACCCTATGTTGTGATACAGATTCAACACTGTCTTAATGTTTTACCTACAGTCACGATTGGTAGTGTAATTTATTTTTTCTGTGGTGTTGTTTCATTTTCTGATGACTTAGGTTTCGGTGTAGGGACGGTGGTACAATGTAACAATGCCAGTACTAGTATCTACACAGTTGGTTGATTGGCGATAAAATTACTGTCTGCATTTGTTACATATCATACCATTTTCTAAAACGTTCTTGTTCAAGATTTAGAAAAATATTTTTGTTGTTTTGAAATTTTTCTGATATGGCCTTTTTTCGTTATATGTGTATAACACAAACAACATTTGGGCTTCATTGCTATATAATCAATTCTCGTGTTATTGGTTATGTACAAGAACCTACTTCAGTGTGACTCTTTGAATTAAACAAACATCCGAAAAAATGTGATAGAAACATAACATTTTAATATTTCAACATAAAAAATGAGAAAAATTAGCGTGAGATTTGAACCCCATCTTAAAAAAAATCAATTATATACAGTTTTAAGCGCTACCGATGGAGCCGCGGCGACTCTTGAAAACATAATTGATATTAAGCAGCTATATAGGTAAAATTTAGTGATGTTCCACTTTTTATTAAAAAAGTTGTTTTTTAGGTATTTAGGACACACTAAACCAATTTCATTTTTGAGGGGGAAAGTTGTATAAATTACAACAACAACAAAAAAACATAACTTTGTTTTGGTTTGAAGTGACCTTCTAAGGGGATTCCCTGTTTTTCCAACCTAAAACACGGTAAATTCCGCATATTTGACTTTCATCCTTTTTTGGAGGTTAAATTAACTATTTTCCAGACATAACATAATACATAAAAATCGAGATTTTGACCAAAAAACATTTTTATTTCTTGTTTTTATCGTAAATTTTATTCTTTCAGCATTTTTTGAAATTGGCCCTTCTGTGAAAAAAATTCAGGGGAAATTGGCCCTACCTCTTTGCACTTTTCAAAAAAATTTGCAGAATTCATCTTTGTTTCAAATAAAGAAATACTTGGCACGAGTAAAGTTTTATCCTGTCCAGTACTACAGACAAAGTTTCACATAATATTTCATTGCTTATAAGATAACCATCACTGGAAGTTAACCAATCAAATTTCCACCCTTTATTTCCTGTTTACAAGCTTTAGTAACCATGTAACTTCAAGTTTCCAAAATATTTTATAGAAACACCAAATAAAAAAAGAATGGTGCTTTGAAACACCCAAGTTATATGTTTATGACTCAGAAATTTTTTACTGCAATGAAATGTAGGATTATAATTTCATACAACTGTCAAATTCAAGGGAATATTTTTTCCGATCCTTTTTCGGGTGTGACGAACTATGATTTGGTGGTATTACACCTAGATACATAGATGATTAAGTTTTACTTGTCAGAAGTAAACCTCTCTACCAGCGGTATTTTTTTTACAAGGTCGAATGTTTGACACGACTGTCCTTATAGAATAGAGTTAAGGACAAAAATCCTTCGTCTATTTTCAAAATAATGTACTTTCATGAAGGTTTACGTTAGAACATATGCGAGAAAAATGTTGAAACCATTGAGATGTTTACCCTAAATTTCTTACTGAAATATTCTATAGATTAGTATCCCAACTTACATACTGGACCCTAAATAAATTGCTTGACTACTAGTAATCTATGGATATGTACACTAAATTACTAACTGGACTAGGACTATTCTTTGTACCCTAAATTACTAACTGGACTATTCTTTGTACACTAAATTACTAACTGGACTATTCTTTGTACACTAAATTACTAACTGGACTATTCTTTGTACCTTAAATTACTAACTGGTCTGTTCTTTGTACACTAAATTACTAACTGGACTATTCTTTGTACACTAAATTACTAACTGGACTATTCTTTGTACACTAAATTACTAACTGGACTATTCCTTGTACACTAAATTACTAACTGGACTATTCTTTGTACCCTAAATTACTAACTGGACTATTCTTTGTACCCTAAATTACTAACTGGACTATTCTTTGTACACTAAATTACTAACTGGACTATTCTTTGTACACTAAATTACTAACTGGACTAATCTTTGTACCCTTAATTACTAACTGGACTATTCTTTGTACCCTAAATTACTAACTGGACTATTCTTTGTACCCTAAATTACTAACTGGACTATTCTTTGTACACTTAATTACTAACTGGACTATTCCTTGTACACTAAATTACTAACTGGACTATTTCTTGTACACTAAATTACTAACTGGACTATTCTTTGTATCCTTAGTTACCTACTCACTGCACTATGGATTTATTTATGTTTTTATGTTCATTTTAACGCTTCACCTCCTTCTTGCTTTTTTGTATATAGACAGGGTTTGTTGCTCGTGCTGTGTGGATGCAGTAGAATGTATCCCCGTGCTTGTGGTGTATGCCCTTATATTTTTCAATTATGGGTTGTTTGCCTGTGAGAGAGCTTTCACATGTTTAATGGTTTACTTTTATAAATTTTGACTTGGATGGAGAGTTGTCTCATTGGCACTCATACCACATCTTCTTATATCTAAGTACGTATTTATAGCGCTATGATTAGGAATGATCTTATTTTGGAAAGCAAAATCTAATCTGTAGAAGGGAATTGTAACACTAAATCTGGTCTTTTTTGTCTAAAAGACTACCAAAAAGCATGAATAAAAGTTGTAGGGTACATGTCAATAAGACAACAACCCTACGACTTAAACAATACCAACATTAGAGGTAACATAAGGTATTCAATAATTGAAAGATGTCTATAATATGTGAAGTTCTCAACCTCTTAGTGTTTAAAACAAGTTTGAATACATTCAACAGAAATGATCAACATAATATTACTACTATATTTCAGGTAACAGATGGGGTTGTAATAAAAAGACTGGGAAGTGTGGGAAAGGATATGGACCTCAGGAAGAATTCTATGGATGCTCAGATGTTACTATAACAACCAGTATTGCCAGAAAGAGCATGACCATGAGAAAGCCTGTAGGCATCAGACACACTGAAGCATTTAAATCAAATTTCCAACTCCTTTCAAATCCTTCTGATTTAATTAGTACTCTTGGTAAGAAAACTGGGGCATCTCCAGTTTTTGATAAATTAACCAGTGTTCTTTGGACTTTATTGAAAACTATAATTTCAACAAATCGTGGGTCTCGGGTAGCTCTTGTTCAATGGAATCCAATTGGACATGATATTGTTGAACTTGGGAAAGCCAACCAGCTTTCAGTATTAGACACCAAGAATAAACGTACATATAACAGACCCTCCAATCACTGGCCTCCTTTTAAACCTACGATTGTTGAAGCTGATATAGGAGAGGGAGAGGATGGTCCCATGATGCTTAGCGAAGTTGTTGTTGATGAGGATTGGCGAAAACCTACTGTGATAAAAAGATATACAGATGGACCAAAAGGCTTTGTAGCCAGTGAATCAAAATGTCGTGCAACCAAAGAATTTGAACATGTTGAAGGAACTAATCGTTGGTGTAGTGTAAATTGTAACGCGGGAAACTGCCCGAAAGTCATGTGCACGTGCGTAACCAAAGCAGTAAACAGTATTGTCACACATCCATTTACAAATTCACTATCTTCTAAAATTCATACTGTTAAAACTAGTGTACATAATCAGGGATCTATAAAAACTGTAAAACATAATGTAGTGCCAAATTCGAAAAAAAGACTATTGCGTTTACTTTCGCATAAAAAGAACGTTGTTTCGAATAAAATTAAAAGTTCAAATTTAAAACGAACGCTATCAAAACCTGTTCGAACTATGCACTGTCAAGGAGCAGGAAAATTTGCCTCTCACCGTAAAATGGTTGGATGGTGTTTAGAAAATTGTTCGAAAGGATTTTGTCCTAAATCTATATGTGAATGTTCTAAAATTATTTAAATACTTTTATTATTTAGTTACATTTGTACATATTTATTGTCTCTTTGTTAGTATATTATCACTTTTAGCATCATGCAGATAAAGAAAATCTAGTGTTTAGAATTTTAGGCTTCTTTTCATCTTTAATGTGGAAAGAAAGTTGATTTTACTTTATAATACTCAAAGGCTTGGTTCCTATACAAGCACGCTTTTTTATTATTTTTTTTTAATAAACTGTGAGATCATAGCTTTACATGTACTTTGACAAGCATTCTTTTATTTTTGAAATAAATATACTACTTTGCGAATCCGTTCCAATATACATTTAATTCAAATGTAAATTTGACCATTTGCCATATATTCAATGACCACTTCTTAAAACATTTTTTTCTTCATGTAACTAGTATACACTGTTGAAGTGATAAATTGATTTGTACTACTTTCATATATTAAGCACTGCTGGATGACCATTTGGAAGAAAAGAACATTAATTTTAGTCAAACTGTATTATATACATGGTAAATATATGTGTTACAGTGACAGTTATATGACCCAATGATCTCATTAATAGAGACCTTGTGTAAAATCGTCAATTTTGTTCTTATTGTTAACAGCGTGTGGTGGCCTGTAGCCTTTTCCTCTTTGATATTTGGGGGTGGGTGGGGTGCTTAGGGGGAGTGAGGCATGGTGTTATCAATCTTTCTATGACACATTGTCTCTCCAGAAGGGTAACATATCCATATTTATTATTTTTTACATCACTTTGACAAATTGGAATTTATCAACTTTGATTAATGAACAACGGAACTATGGTCCATGTACATAAACTCATTTTGGAACATTCTGCGAATTGGTTGGTTATGTGCCTTAATATCTTTATGGTCTGACGGTGATTGTCCCAAGAGAAAGGGAAGACAATCCGTTTTTTCATTGTTCAGGGGCAGATCCAGGATTTTTGAAAAGGGGCGTATTCCCGATAATTAAAGATCTAAATATTTTTGGAACGATTTTATACTAAAAATGTATATATATCGTGAAATTATAGATTACAAATTTTGGCGACTAAAAAGGGGACCTCAATACGCCCCCCCCCCCCTGGATCCGCTACTGTTGTGTCCCCCTTCCTAATTCAGGTTGAAATTAACCCGAATAATTCAGTCGTTCTATTCCGCTGATCTACGATTACTTCCTCGCTAGTAGGAGAAATCGATTACTGGAGGGACTGAATTATTCGGGCTAGGTTGAAATGGTTGTCTTGCCGTTTTATGTCACCTGCACAAGCAGATTAGTGTTATATAGATATCGCCTTCTCTTGTCAAACTATTGTTGTGTTGCCATCTAGTTGACGAACTACCCCACGTCTTTTATTCAAGTTTTTTTCACATTTAAGTACTAGTATTTTCAATAATGGGATAAAACTTGATTCTGAGAAAAATGCAACAGAATGATGTTAGACATGAAGACGAACAGATACAGTTAAACACTCCTTTATAGTAGGTATCTACAAAGGAAAGGTAAACCAATGTACCCCCTCCTTTCTTGGTGTTTCCGGCTGTGTTTTTATCAACCAATTTTCTCTTTTGGCACTTTGGTATTCCACTTTTACTTTACACACCACATGAAACCCAAACATTTTGGGAAAAGGTAACATACCCCTATCAATTAAGTATTGAAGTGCCCCCCCCCCCCCCCCCCCCGAGCTACAATGTAACGCGTAAGGCGCAATATGTTCAGTGATAATTGTTCCAAAGAAGTTATTTAAAGAATTTTATTACATGAAGTGCAAGGCATGGAAGAATAAATAAATTTTAAAAACATTTAAAAGATTAACTCATCGTAAGGAAAAATAAAAATATCATCAGCCTATTTTGGAGACTGTAGTCTTAGTTTTCAATATAAAAGGGTTATTGTAGCATTGTTGAAATCTTACTACGATAACAGCCAAAGATACAACATATCATACTTTTTGGTTAGTATATTCAGGAACATAGTTAGTATAGACTGTCCCTGGTATATTTTACGAAAGAAAACTACTTAACCATTTTGCAAGCCAAATGTTTTTATTTATCTGAAATATTGTTTAAAAGGGTGTCCAAAAATATTTTTGAATCAAAGTGCTTGTAAACACTGAAGGATAAAGATTGCTTTAATTTAATAGTGGGAAGTAAAATTAAATATTGCATTTTATAAAGCATTGGTTTTAGTTGATTTAACAAAAATTCTGGACAAAGAAAGATAACTCCAATTTTTAAAGATGACTTTAATAATGACATCGTTTTCATTTTTAGAACAGATATTAGATTCCTGCACCTTGCAAAAGTTATGTAATTTTCTTAACAAGTGTAACATCATTTTGTGCCTTGAATATCTGAGCGTATATTGCATTGATAAATTTCTGGAAATGTTCATGGATAAAATGTATAGAATGTTATGATCGCTGCACTATATTTTGTGTATCAAAAAGGTAGTGATAAGCCTTGGAAGATTTAGATATCAAGTCAGTACCATAAGGTTTTGATTGCATTTCATGCAATCTTTACCAAAAAATACAAAAGCAGCATCAAATAACAAACAATAAAAAAAGGTTTAAAAATCCAAAAGTAAAATTTGCAAAACGTTCTTAAAAATAACAAATGGTACAAACATAGTACCTGCCTGCTTGTACTCACCAGTGAGCCTGCGGGATAAATGGAAGTCAAGACACTAGCTTACCAAGACCAATAAACACAGTTAGACATGTGTCTCTTCATTTTGATATTTCAGTTTGTTTAGTCTCTGATCTGACATGGTCATGACCAATACAGTAAAACAAATTATTTTAAAAGACAAAAAGATACATCACAACATTTTAACTTCTATGCCCAACCTAGGGCATTATGTTTTTCAGTCTGTGCGTCCATTCATCCGTTCGTCTGTCCCGCTTTAGGTTAAAGTTTTTGGTCAAGGTAGTTTTTGATGAAATTGAAGTCCAATCAACTTGAAACTTAGTACACATGTTCCCTATAATATCTTTCTAATTTTAATGCCAAATTAAGAGTTTTGACCCCAACTTCACGGTCTACTGAACATAGAAAATGATAGTGCGAGTGGGGCATCCGTGTACTGCGGACACATTCTTGTTTCATCTAATTTTCGATTAAAACAGATATATATTTCACTTTTTAACAGTAAATCTCCTGTTTTAAAAATAATAAAGACAATAAAATATCCCCTTTAGAAAAATTTAAACAGTAAAATAGCCCCATTTTAAAATTGGGATAATAGCAGTAATATATCCTCTTTTTAAAATTTAATAAAAATCAATAGCATATTCCCTTTTTAAAATGTTAAAACTATTAAAATGACCTCTTTTGAAAATTTGATTAAAAAAATACAATGTTCCTTCTTTAAATTGAATAAAAACAATAAAATACCAATTTAAAATTAGAATAAACTCAACAAAACATTCCCTGTTAAAATTGTGATAAAATCAAGAAAATACCATTTATAAAATTTTGTTAAATCTGGATATGTTTTTTTCTAACAGTAAAACATTTTACTTCTTCTTTTAAAATTTTGATAAACACTGTCATTTAGAATTTAAATAATATCACTAAAATACCTCTATAAAAATTTGGAAAAAAAGCAGTAAAACATCCCCTTCTTAAAAAAAATTAAAGTTTAGATAAAAATCCTCAATAAGAGATATATACTGACGGAGCCATGGTGTTTTTATTAAACATTCAGTTGGTACCAGTAATAGTGGATACTTGGTACATATAAAAAGGCTCTCATATTGTATATAGAGAGAAGATTGATGTGAAAGAATAAGTAGGGGTAATCTAGTATTGGATAGGATCATGTAAGATTTTGTATCAGATTGTGAAGGATATCTTATGAAGACAAATGTAAGGTCAGTATTTTATGTACTTTATTGAATTATAAGGACTGTATTATTTCTGTAAAAGAATTTAAGATCTCAGATAAAGGTCTTCATGCATATTCTAGAGATGAAAAGAACCATAATGAATTTTTAACTTTCCCTGATAAATTCTACTCAAAGTGCTTGCTCCAACTGAAGAGTAAAAATTGCTTCCATTTTGCAATGTGAAATTAAAAATTAAACATTGCAGTATTTAAAAGCAATGGAAGGAAATATTTTCAAATGGAGCTATCTTCCTATGTCCATAAAAGTATTTTTTAGAACAGATAGATTCATACACCATGCACAACTTATGTAATTTTCAATAAAATAGTTTCCTTGCCAAGTCAGGAGCCTGTAATTCATTGGTTGTTGTTTATTGCTGTACATCATATTTGTTTTTTTCTTTCTTTGTTTTCTACATAAATCAGGTCATTAGTTTTCTCGTTTGGATTGTTTTACATTTGTCATTTCGAGCCTTTTATAGCTTACTATGTGGTATGGGTTTTGCTCATTGTTGAAGGCCGTATGGTGATCTATTGTTGTTAACTTCTATGTCATTTGGTCTCTGGAGGAGAATCATACCACATCTTAGTTTTATATTTATACACATACACATCTTTTTGAAACTTGGATATCTGAGTATATATCATTAACAAATTGCTTGAAATGGATAATATCTATAGAATGTTCACCTCACTGCACTATGTCGTTTGTACTCTTAGAGGTAGAAATGAGGCAAGGAAACTGAAAAATATAGCTATAAAGCCAGTGATAATAGGGTTTTAATTGCATTTCATCCAATCTTTACCACAAATAAAAAAAGACCTTGAGGCATATTTTCAGATGAGAAGGATCTTGGAACCAGAAACATTTTTCATTTGGCATAAATGATGAGTATAAGTATGACAAAACGAAGATAAAGTATTATTTTCATAATCAACATAAAAAAATCAAGTTTCAATTTTCCTCCAATGACATTTACTTATTCGGTTGAATTGCAATAATTAAAACCGTCACATTATCTGCACTCAAGCGGAACACAGCTTCGTTGGCTAGTTTATTGCAAGCAGTCTCATATCTTAGGTCGTCTGCAGTTTTGTCATCTGTGCTTTGTATAGTAGAACCCTGAAAACATAAAACACATTCATGTACCTTGTATAGTAGAACCCTGAAAACATGAAAAACATTCATGTACCTTGTATAGTAGAATCCTGTAAACATAAAACACATTCATGTACCTTGTATAGTAGAACCCTGAAAACATGAAAAACATTTATGTACCTTGTATAGTAGAATCCTGTAAACATAAAACACATTCATGTACCTTGTATAGTAGAACCCTGAAAACATGAAAAACATTCATGTACCTTGTATAGTAGAATCCTGAAAACATGAAAAACATTCATGTACCTTGTATAGTAGAATCCTGAAAACATAAAACACATTCATGTACCTTGTATAGTAGAATCCTGTAAACATAAAACACATTCATGTACCTTGTATAGTAGAACCCTGAAAACATGAAAAACATTCATGTACCTTGTATAGTAGAATCCTGTAAACATAAAACACATTCATGTACCTTGTATAGTAGAACCCTGAAAACATAAAACACATTCATGTACCTTGTATAGTAGAATCCTGTAAACATAAAACACATTCATGTACCTTGTATAGTAGAACCCTGAA